TATATATATATATATATATATATATATATATATATATATATATATATAGTATACATCCATCCATTATATTTACCCGCTTCCTCCTTTTTGGGTCGCAGGTGTCACTGGTGCCCGTGTCCAGCAGTCACTGTGTGAAAGGCGGGCGACACCCTGGACAGGTCTCAAGTCCATCAAAGGGACATATAGAGACAAATTAGACAAACATCCATTCACTCTCTCACTCTCACCTAAGGACAATTTAGAGTTACCAATCAGTCTAACATGAATGTTTTTGGTCTGTGGGAGGAAACTGGAGTACTCAGAGAAAACTCACACATGCACAGAGAGAACATGCAAACTTCACCTAGAAAGACCCCTGCCTGGGATTTGAACCAGGACGACCTGCTCGCTGAGAGGTGGCAGCTCTACCAACTGTGCCACCGTGCTGCACCTGTTCAATTCCAGTCCAGAAAAAACACTCATTTTGAATACTACAAACATTCACTGTTTAAATCCCTCAGCGACAGGGAACATCGACTTACAGCTTGTTTACCCTTCCATTACGCACCATTCCACCCCTTTCTCCCCTGACTATTTGGTTTCTGTGTCCATTTAGCTCACTATCCATTTTTCTTGTCTTTACTTCCTTATTTTCCCCTCCTTCCCCATCATGCACTCTCCTATCACAAACCACAGAAGGATTGCAACATGCATAAGCGTCTCTTTTTTGATTTTCCACCACTTCTGTTCAGTCCTGCTCTCTACCCCAGAAGCAACAACTTCTGAGCAGTTTATCATGTTCTTCTGTGCACCTCACCTCCCCAGCTCCCTCTTCCCCCACTAACCTAAAAGTAGCTGTTGCAGATATCGCCCTGCTTCGCTCTAATCAGCATTGACTCTTTCATCATAAATAATAAAAGAGACACAGATGATAGAGCAAACAAGAGGGTAGGAGTTATTAAAAAAAGTCTGTGTTTCTGGCAGTTGAGAGTTGGTGAAGACAGGCTCTGAGAACATTTTCTGGTGCAGAATAACATGATTTTAAGAAGGAGGTACATTTTTTAAATATTTTTTCCCCTGTGCCTATAATTAGAGAGTATGCTGAGGACAGCCAGTAGTCCAGATAGCCTACGATCACGAACACCGATGATCACTCCTGACCTGGAAAGTGGAACCAAACTATGGCACCTGGTGAAGAACCACGACCACTCAGACCAGAGAGAGGGGGACCGAGGGAGCAAGATGGTCTCCGAGATCTACTTGACCAGGCTGCTGGCCACAAAAGTAAGACAAACAGGACTGGAAAATATTTCTCTTAAAAGTTGAATCCTTTTTGCCACCTGCAAGTGCTCTTGGCCACGCCCACTTCTCAGCTCTGCACACAGAACAGCTGATCAGCTGCAGCTGGAAGTTTATTCTGCAGTAAGGGCTGCACAAAGGTGCAGGAGGAAGCCTTTTCTGCAGCAGGTGCTAAACATTTTACAATAATGTATTTTACATAAAAAATTCCATGCCGATCGTGCGGCTCATTCATCAATCAGCCAATTGTGTGTCATGTCCAATCTTATTTTGAAAAACCGCTATAGTGCAAATCTGCGATAAACAAACTGCGAATTAGCGTGGGACTACTGTACTGTGTTTGTGTATATATATATATATATATATATATATATATATATATATATATATATAATTCAATTCAGTTTGGTAAGTAAACTTTATTTATATAGCACTTACCATAGATACAATCACAAAGTGCTGTACAACAATAAAAAAAAGGCTTAAAAAATAATAATAACAGCTCAGTAATAAAAAAAAACAGTAAAAACAGCTGGTAAAAACAGTAAAATATTTAACTAAAAGCTTGGCGAAATAAAAATGTCTTAAGCTGCGTTTTAAAAGAATCAACAGAGACGGTCACACGAAGAGACAGGGGCAGGGCATTCCACAACCGGGGGGCTACGGCCTGAAAGGACAGGTCACCCTGAGTTTTAAATCGGGTCTTAGGAACCTTAAGAAGGTTCGGCACTGAAGACCGAAGGGTGCGGGCTGGAGAATAAGGAATCAACATTTCAGTGATGTACTGGGGGGCCTGTCCATTTAAAGCTCTAAAAGTCAAAACTAAGATTTTAAAATTAATTGTAAATTCAACAGGCAGCCAATGAAGAGAAGATAAAACTGGTGTAATGTGAGCCCTTCTATTATATTAAAAACCTTGCAGCAGCGTTCTGGACCAACTGGAGACGAGCGACGGCAGTTTTGTTAAAACAAGTAAAAAGGAATTACAATAATCTAAACAAGAAGAAATAAAGGCATGAATAATCATCTCCACAGTTTACTTGTATAACGCCAAATCACAACAAAGTTGTCTCAGGGCCCTTTACAGGAACATTCACATACAAAGGCCAATTAGTAAAGTTCTCTATCTGAGGAGTCCAGCAGACAAGTTGAATCTTGGCTTTGTTGCAGTCTCCCATCCTGAGCAAGCACAGTGGCAACAGTGGAAAGGAAAAACTCCCTTTTAAAAGGAAAAAAAAAAAACCTCCAGCAGAACCAGGCTCAGGTGAAGCAGCCATTTGCTTTGACCGGCTGGTTGCGAGGACAGGAAGGAGAGACAGACAAACATAGAATGGTAGGTCCAGGTGTATCTGAAAGACAAAAAAACACATGTTAATGATAGAAAAAAATATTTACAAATACAAACCATGTTGAGCAGAGTAAGTACAGACAGTAGCAGAGTGAAAATTGTGGTCAGTTTGTCCTCCAGCAGTCTAAGCCTATAGCAGCATAACTAAGGGACAGCTCAGGAAACCCAAGCTGACCCTAACTATAGGATTTAGCAAAATGGAAAGTCTTAAGCCTAGTTTTAAAACTGGATAATGTGTCAGCCTCACGGACAGAGATTGGAAGTTGGTTCCACAAGAGAGGAGCCTGATAACTGAAGGATCTGCCTCCCATTCTGTTTTTGTAAATTCTAGGAACCACAAGTAAACCTGCAGTCTAAGAGCGAAATGCTCTGTTAGGAAAATATGGAACAATAAGATCTGTAATATAAGATGGAGACAGGTTGTTTAGAGCTGTGTAGGTTAGAAGTAAGATTTTGAATTATATTCTAGAATTGACAGGGTGCCCATGGAGAGAAGCTAAAACTGGAGAAATATGATCTCTCCTACTAACTCCAGTTAAGACTCTGGCAGCAGCATTTTGGATCAACTGAAGACGCTTTAAAGACGTATTTGGACATCCAGATAATAAACCATTGCAATAGTCCAGTCTAGATGTGACAAATGCATGGACCAGTTTTTCTGCATCATTTTTAGATAAGATGTTTCTAATTTTAGTGATATTACGCAGGTGGAAGAAGGCAGTTCTAATAACATTTTTAATGTGGAGGATAAAAGACATGTCCTGATCAAAAATAACACCAAGATTTTTAACATTAGAGCTAGAGGACAGATTAATGCCATCTAAGGAGGGAGAAAGACTGAAAAAATAATTCCTTAGGTGCTCAGGTCCAAAAATCAAAACCTCAGTTTTGTCTGTGTTCAACAGGAGAAAATTAAGGGTCACCCAGGTTTTTATGTCTTTAAGACATGCTTGTAGTCTAAGTAGCTGATTGGATTCATTAGGTTTAATGGACAAATATAAGTGTGTGTCATCAGCATAACAATGAAAATTTATCCCATGCTGTTTAATAAATTTACCTAATGGAAGCATATATAAAGTAAAGAGTATTGGGCCAAGCACTGAGCCCTGAGGAACTCCATGACTAACTTTGGTGTATGAAGAAGCTTTATTATTTACATTTACAAACTGCAATATATCAGATAGATATGATTTAAACCATTTTAGAACTGTTCCTGTAATCCCAATATCATATTCAAGCCTCTGCAGTAAAGATTGTGATCAACTGTATCAAATGCAGCACTGAGG